CGAGTTCCTAACCATCGCGCCACTCGGCCGGCCCCTGTTGCTACCTTTTTTGATGTATGGTTCATAGTTCCCTATTCCTTTGCATGTCTCATTTTTGTTTTAAATATTTTATTGGGGAATTGAGGAAGGGGAACAGTGTTGGGGAATTGGGGAAGGGGAACAGCCAAGTTGTTGTCCTTCAATCTTAGTTGTGGAGAGCACAGCTAGCTCAGCTCCAAGTCCAGTCACCATCTGGCCGCCTGTCACTCAGCTCAAGGTGCTGTGTTCAATTTTAGTTGCGGGTGGGCGCAGCGCACCATCCCATGCAGAAGTTGAACCGGCAACCTTGTTAGGAGCATGGGCTCTCACCAGCTGAACCATCCTGCCTGTTGGCAGCTCAGCAGCAGCTCAGCTCGGGTGCAGCTCACTGGCCCATGTGGGAATCAGACCGGCAACCCTGTTTCTCAGAGCTCGCACTCTTAACCAACTGAGCCACTTGGCCGGCCCATGTCTCATATTTTAATTTTTTGTTGGAAACTAGACATTTTAGATAAAATAGTTAGCAGCCTTGGGCACTGGTCTCCCCCTTCCAGGCCCTGTTGTTGTTATGTGCTTGTTTACTTCATTGTGTGAAGCCCCTGATGTTGCCCCTCAGAGGGTGCAGCCTTTAGTATGCACAAAATAACCCTGCAATAACACTAATTTTGGCAGGGCTCCGTTTGTCTCTTTTCTTGACCATTCTCAACTCTTAAGTTTTACTAATTACCTGCTGTTTGTTCTGTTGTTTTCAACAATGCACTGGGACATAAATTGCTTCACAGTCTGATCCGGTCAAACTTGGGCTCCTTTGAAGAGACACGAATATTTCCCTGGGTCAGTGTTTGAGATTTGCTCTGACCTCAGGAGGGTTATTTTTTCTTTGTTTCTTTCCAGCAAACTAGACAGCCTAAGGTTTAGCCTACAATTTCAATAAATCTACAAATTTCCTTCCAATTGCTTTTTACCATAACCTCCACTGTTTTTTTAGATTGCTCTTAGGCTTGGATTTCTCCATATTGTATTGCAAATTAAGGGGAAAAGATTCATAGCTCTCCTAAATCCTGCTTCTTCTCTAGGGCAAAATCTCTGAGCTACAGTTCTGGTACTAGGGGCTAGAAAAATGGCACCCTTCTCTCTGCCATCTCTACTTTGGAAGATGAGTGCTTGGTGTAGGAAGTGGGCACTAAGCCTAGGTCTCTTTGCCTTACCTCTCAGCATGTTTCTTCTGTGTCTCAATCCAGTGTAAGGGTGATCAAGGCCCCAGTATTCTCAGTGCCACTATGTCCAAATTCTAGCCTTTTCCTATGAATGGGGGCTGGGCAAAAACAGGAAGCCCCTACTTCTTGGCTGCATTGGGTCAGGACTTAGCTTCAGCAATAGGTAGTTGGGGGAAGTATGAGAAACACTTATATCCTGCAGCACCCGAGAAGATAACCCTTCAACTGAGAACTAGGGGGAGAGAGAGCCCTGTTTTATTGGCTGTTCTACTTTGCAGTGGAGTTTCTATCTTGATAAACTTTTGGGGAGGAGGGAGCGAGTGAGTCTTCGTTCAAATACCATTGACTTTTACTGTTCTTAAAGCTTTAGATTTTCTTGAATACATTTTAAAATATTTGTTTTATGCCATCAGGGCCATTTCTCAATACTTTAAATGGTTATTTATATAATTTTCACTAATTTCACTGGGGAGCTGGTCAAAGCTCTTCATGCCTTCATGCCAGAAGTGAAACCTATCCAGTCACATGTAATGTTATTATTAATGTAGTTAGATTTATCTCCATTTTGTTTTCTATATATCTCATGTATTTTTTGTTCTATTCCTCTTTTCTTGCTTTCTTTTGCATTAAATATTTCCAAGTGAAACTTTTAAATTTTCAAAATAATTTCTCAGTTATTCCTCTAGTGCAGCGGTTCTCAACCTGTGGGTCGCGACCCTTTTAGGGGTCGAATGACCCTTTCACAGGAGTCGCCTAAGGCCATAGGAAAACAAAAAGATATTTACATTACGATTCATAACAGTAGCAAAATTACAGTTATAGAGTAGCAACGAAATATTTTTTTTAATTGGGGAATTGGGGAAAGTGGAACAGACAAGTTGCTGTCCTTTTGTTCTTCAGTCTAGTTGTAGAGGACGTTGCTTCACTGGCCCAAGCTGGCACCATCATTGCGCTCTTCCCGGGCGAGGCAGGTCAGTTGCCGGCTTCTGGACGGCCACTCACTGTGGCTGCTGGCTGCTCACGCTGGCTGCTGGCTACACACGGCAGCCCATGGCAACCCACTGCCACAGGGGCTACGGCCTACGCCGTCGCCGGCGCCTCACAGCAGCCCAGCTCCAGGTTGAGCTGTTGTTCAGCATCTTAGCCGTGGAGGGCAGTGTCACTGGCCCTCATATGTGGGATCCGAACCGGGGCCCTCTGGCGTCCCAAGCCAGCTCTTAACCATTGTGCCACTTGGCTGGCCCAAGACTGGTGATTTCAATTGCAACAAAATAATTCAAAGTATTAGGCTTATTCTGAACAACAAATGAACACTTTTTATGTTAACATACACATTTTAATAACTTTCTTTTTATCAACCTAGTCGTTATATATATAAACAAAACATGGGGAAATCGTGCCAGTTTATTGATGTTGCTTATCATTTCCAAATTCTCCCTTATTGACTGCTCTATGAAAATAGGTCTGAGCCATTTAAATATTTTTCCTTTTGTCAGCTAGAACTGAAGCTTTGTCAGTAGAGGGAACTGGAAAGACAGAGCAGGAAGAAAGGGTTTTGCTTCCTGCTTCTGGTGTGCTTACTGGGTAGGCTGCTCCTATAGCTTGTGCAGCTTCCTCCACTGCCTGGCTCCTGTGCTGCATGGTTTTGGTAGCTTCCAGCAGCTTCCCCTAGCACCTCCCTCTGGTGGTTTTATAGTAAAGTGTCTCTGGTGAGAAACTGCACTGTGAACATATTTTCCAGGCACCCTAGAGGGCTGATTCCAGAGGATAGGTTTTTGGGAAGTTCCAGAGGGCAGTTCCATCATTCTGCCTGCAAGGTATTACAGCATCTTCCCTGTCATTGAACGAGACTGGGCTGGCTCTGTCGTCTTCAACGAGAACTGTATCTTAGCCCTGGGTAGGTGTTGAGACTACTCTATCTCAACTCTAGTGATAGTGTTTATTACATCTGCTATTCCTATTATATATTCTTTATAGAGTTCTTTTTACTCCTTACTAGGTAATCCCTCATTACTCCAATCTCCTGTTATGTTAATGATTTTGTATTTAACATTTTCCCTTTTCAAATTACTGTGTGCCTCTTCTCTCCTGAGTGCACCCAGCCTGATACTGACGTGCTCACTGGAATAACAACGGCACATAAAGTTTGAAATAGGATACAAATATATTCACATGACTTAGAGCAATTCCTGTGAAGTGGTCATGGCAAGTACTATTACTCACATTTTGTAGATGAAGAATAAGGTTCTCAGAATTTAAGTGAGTTGTCAAAAGTCATATAGTCATTTTTATCATCTGTAAAATGGGGATAACAATAGAACCTACCTCCTAAGGTCATTATAAAGATTAAACGAGGTAAAGTGTGTGAAGTGCTTAGCATGTGGTAATGGTTTGATGTTAAATGTTATATATATATATATATATATATATATATACATACATATATATATATATCATATTTGAACTGTAAAAAATACTCCATCTGGTACTCTGATGTTTTGCTAAACTGCTTATAATGAGTTGTCTAGGGCTTATACATCTTTTTGTTTCAGTTAATGACATTTGTTTTATCAAATACTATAACATAATGACCAAAAAAGACCTATGATAATCACAATTGCCATGTGTGGTTCTTTCTTTCTGAAGGGTAAAAAAATGGCCAGAGTGAGAACTAACCACCTTAAGTTTATATGTCTGCATAATATAATTCTAGGCCCACTGAGGTTAATGGCTGAACTCTAATTAAGGAAACCAAGTTCCTAATAATCCAACCCTAAATTTAAAGGTGAACCTTCAAATTTCAACTTTTCAATGTAAATAGTACATGCAGCTTAAACAGCATTTCTGATCTCATCAGGTTCAGCTTCTATTAACTATTTATTTTGGTCAAGGCTTGAGGTGCGAACAGAATATTAAGGGAAAATAAGGGAAGGAAACCGAGTTTACTATGTGTCAATTACTCTACCAATCCTTTGATCACTTAATATTTCAATAAACCAAATACTGCAAGTGGGTACTGTATTAAGTTTGGGGTTATATGTTAATTAACAAATGTTGCCCAAACTTGTAGAAAACTACTTTGCATATAGACATACAATAATACAAAAAAATCCATGGTTAATGTAAAGTACTCTGGCATTAATTGAAGGCACAATTGAAAATTATCCTGTAGGAATGGCAGCGATATGGCACGTGTGAAACTTTCAGAAAGGGAAAAAGTACAATGCTTCATGTCTGACAACAAACTCCTCCCGCAATATTTATTAGAATCGGGGGACATTTTCAGCAGTGGTCTTTGTCTATAACAATATGAACCCTGCACTCTGGAGTGTTAAGTACTGCATTTTCAATCGGTACAAAATCGTTTGAAGTAAAACAAGTGACGAAGTAGGAGTTCATTTTCCTCCCTCAGTCACAAGATCCCTTAGCGGCTAGCCTCCTTTCGGTGGGGGAGAGACGACAAAAATAAATAAATAAATAAAGCCTGTTCGGTGCCGGGAGGAAAACGAAGAAAGCAGCGGAGTCGAGCCAGCGTCTCACATGTTCCTCACGATCACCCCAGACGGTAAGGTCCGCGACCGGAAAGGGTCCGATTGCCCTCACAGGAAGGGAAAGCGACTCGTGAACTCACGGAAGAGAACGCCACCACAGAGTTCTACAGCGGCTGCTAGAGCGTCCGCCGCCACTTAGCACCACCCCCTCCTTCCTCCTTCCGGGAGCAGTAGCTAGGCAACCGTGGGCCGTCACGGAGTGCGGATGCCGCGCTGTTGCCGTACTGCCTCTGGCGGTGAACGACGACGCTGCAGGCCCTCACAGTTTTTACCTTCTCCCCTCTCCACCCCCTTTCCCCCCGCCCAGCGCTCCGCCACTTCGGCTCCTCCCTCTTCTTCTCTCTCTCCCTCTCCTTCCTCCTCCGCCTCCTCAGCTCTAGGGCTAGAATATCTATGGGTCGAAACGTGATGCGATGAATCCGAGAGAGACCGAAACTGGGACGAGGAGTGCGGCGGAAGCGGCGGGACTCCTGGACATGGGGGCTTCACCACAATAAAGGCAGCGCCCCCACCCGCCGCCGCCAGCCCCTCCGGATCGAAGCCCCCAAACCCCCTCGGGAAAAGGATGGCGGCGGCACCTACCCAGATCGAAGCCGGTGGGTAGCTGTGTCCGGGGGCCAAGGGGATAGGGGCTTAGAGCGACGGCTGTCAGTTTCTTTTAAAAAAGCTTCTATTTCTATTCTTTGCCTTCGTCTCAACCTTTCTCCCCTCTTCCTCAGAGCTGTATTACCTGATCGCTAGATTCTTGCAGTCCGGACCCTGCAACAAATCCGCTCAGGTGAGAAGGAGGAGGAGAGCTGAGAGTCGTATGGAATAGTCCCGAAGGGGACATCGAGGCAGCGGGGTGCGCGGTTACGCTGGGGGTGAGGGAATGGCCGGCCTTGAATAGTACTACCGTCAGCGGCTGGGTTCGAAGTGGGGAGGGAGGAATGGCTTGATGGCCCGAGCTGCTCCTCATATCCGTGTTTCCCTTTTGCTCAGGTGCTAGTGCAGGAGCTCGAGGAGCATCAGGTACGGAGCCCCTTCGGGAGGAGGTGGGGAGGGTTAGGGTGAAACTGGAGGAAGGGGAGGGCAAGTCAGGGGAGAAGGGCAGGGGCCGGGAGGGACGCTCGGATTTGGGCACTCATAGCTGTTGTCACAGGGGTGAACCGGCTTCTTCCCTCAAAGGGGGCGGATATTGCTGGGGTCTCAACTCGCCCCCTCTTTATGCCCGTGAGAGGCGGTTTTTGAAGATTTCCTCCCTTTGGCCTCCTCCCCCCGGCAACACACACTCGTCTAGCTCTGGGGCAACAGCAGTCGGGCCAAAAGAAATAAAGAAGCGGAAGGGTCGAGGACCTGGACCCAGGCTGGGTCGGGTTGATGGGGAGCGAAGGCTTGGCCTTTATCATTTGCCCCCCTCCCGCTTTCTTTTCTCTGCCCCCCAGCTGATTCCGCGCCGCTTAGACTGGGAGGGGAAAGAGCACCGAAGAAGCTTCGAGGATCTAGTGAGTAAAGTTTTCATTTGAACTTACCCAACTCTTTCTCCTTTCCCTCCCCACCTTGTTGCCCCAGCTGGCCCCCGACCCTTCAGACCCCTCAGCTCTGTTCCAGAGCTCGGTGCAGAGTAGAACGACTGCCCCTTCCCCCCCTCCCGAGTCGGAGAAAGGGTACCTTGCCCTCCCCATGGCCTCGCTCGTTTGCACCCGAAAACTTTGAAGAATGTGAGTTGGTTATCAGAGGTGCTGTACTGTGCATTATGAATATGTTACAAACATCGGGAAAGGCCCATTGTGGGGGGGAAAGGGAGAGAAACCAGGGGGTTATCTTGGGGCACGTACCAAGGACTGACGCTGGCCAATGACAGCATTGGTAACAGCCTGGAGTTCCGGATTAGTGGAAGAAAACTGGTTTCTGGTTGGTCCTGGCTTGAAATACGGGAACTGAGGCCAGGCTCAGTCTTTTTTTGGGGTGGAGGACGAGGGAGGGGGCTCAGGAGGGGAGTTGAAGAACCGGGGTTGGGAAAAAAAACCGACACAATTAAAAATTGGGAGCATCGGGTGAATCCCAAGATTTGCTGGTTTTATTATAGATAGTCGAGGACTGAATAAAAGCATAGTCGTTGTATAAGATTTTAGAAAATAGCTCATCAAATCGTTAAATCGCATTTGTGCACATACATTTTCACTAAATAGCAACTATGGATTATGACCTTTTTGAGAACTGATGAAACGCGATTTGGGGTTTACAAGGAGACAACAGTGGTCATATTTTAAAATAGAATATACTTTAGTAAAGGACCAAAGCCATTAGATTGTGTTGTTTCTCCTGGAAATATAATTCATAGAGTGCATATACCTTCTGTTTAGCATTGACACATACTAAAAGGTGATCCTTTCTATTTTGGGGAGGATGTTCTCTTGTAGTAGCCATTGGCACAGTAAATTGGAAGGAAATGAAAAAAGAAAGGAGTCCTGTTTCTAAAATCTAAATTTAGCTATCTTTCCTACAAATAAGATCCAAATGGAGAAAAATCAGACAGTTAAAGAAAGTTGGAAGGTATGGTAGACTCTAAATATAAAGTGATTTAAAATTTGCTTGCAATAAGAGAGTATTTAAATTGCTTCGGTATTCATTTCTCTTTGTACTAAATTACAGTATAAGGCCACGTTAGTTATTAACCAAATCTACATTTTTATTTTATTTTTTGCAAATCACAGAAAATGGTATAATGATTATGATAAGGATAAACTTCACCATCTGTACTATTAATAGTAAATAATTCTCAGGTGGATAAAAATTATTTTTGAAAACTGCATGTATTATCAGTTTAATTAGTAATCAGAATTTTTGTTGAATTTAAGTCCTGCCAAAAAAAAGGGCAAAAACAAGAGTGCCTACCAATATGTTTTAACACTTTATGACTAACGTGATTTTGAAGATAGAGTTTTATACTGAGGTTTATTGAAAATGTTTTCATTTACCTTTGTCTGTAAGTGGACCATTTTAAGCGAGTAGAAATAGAAGACTTAAAAGGTAAAAGCTTTTTAAACATTAACTTGATAGTGATAAAAAGTAAATGAACACCGAAATAATTAAAAATACAAACTTTTAACCACACATATACAAAAACCAACAAAACCCAGTTTACTAGACTTCCTTTCCTTATATTGTAAAGTCATACTTTAAGTAATTGTAATCTAAGTCCCTTTTGTGCTTTGTTTTTTTTACTTAACACTTATACATATGCTTATCTGTATTTGACTAGTCATTGTTATTTTAACATAAGAAAAGATTCAGTTGTTTTTAACCTGCTGTGATTAGAGCTTAACTTTCACTTGAGCATTTGAGTTACTTCCAGTTTTTTATCTTTGCATAGTTAAGTAGCCTGTCTGCTTTTTTCCCTTTTTTTTATTGAGCTATTTTCCTGGCCTATCTTCTTAAAGTGGAGTTATCAGATCAAAGGGTCTCATCAGTTTTATAGGTCTTGTTATATATATTGTAAGATTGCTTTCCAGAAGATTGTGCTAATTTATAGTGTCACCATCTAGGTACTTAGAGTGAGTTTTAAAAAATGTTTTTTACATCTTTTGATGGCTTTACCTGGTGAAAGTAGTCTCTAGTTTATTTAATTAGCTATTTCCCCATTGTTAGTGAAGTTTAAACTTTAAATAGTTATTTTTTAATTGTTCTTAATGCATTTGTACATCCCTACATATACTTGATTTTCACCTTTATATTTTTAATTTGTTTTTTATATTTTTCATTTTATATACACAGAATTTCTTCTATTGTTTCACATTATAGTTTACATAGCCTATCTTTTTTGTTTTTAATTTAATTTTTGTATTGTATAATTAGGTTTTTATTTTTCTACACTGGGATCCAGTTTTTCTAGGGATATTATCTACCTATAGATTTATTTGTAAGGGAAGAGGAGACAGGGCTGAGTGAGAATTTGAACAAAAAGAAAAGAAGTGTAGTGGTTGAGAACTAAGTGGGCAGTGCTAGATTGATTCTAGATTCAACAGTTGTATTGTTGATTGAAATTATTACATATCTGACCTCTGATTTTGAGTGGCTTCATTGTGGAAGAGATGGCTTTTATTTCGTGGGACAGGTATTTTTTAAGTGCTATTAGAATAATGAATTTATACAGTGTGATCTTTGATTTAGCTATATGTTTTGGATTGAAATTTAGGGCAAATATTAATAAATAGTATAATTTTATATGTACTTACAGTATTAATAAGTAGTATAGTCTAATATATTAAATTATATAATAACACTTAAACTTAAGATGTATTGGGGTATAAAAGAAATAATACAAATCCATAATGAAAAGGTAAAGGACTATAAACAAAGATATATATTAGAAAAAAAATCCTACTCTTCTGTCAGTATGTATACTTTCACTTGAACTGTTTATACTGCTTAACTTGATTTATTCAGAAGAATATTAAGATAATAAGTTGATTACTACTGTTCTTGTTACGTATTCAACAAATTCCCCCTTTTTCTTTTTTAAATTTGATTTAATGTTTTAGTCAAAATTTGAAACACCAGGGAAGGTGCTTTTTTGTTAAAGCTACTGTCAGGCAAGTATTGACATATCCAGATCTGAAGTGCTTTAAAAAAAGTGTCCGTATATGAAATGTTTGTCAGTTTATGTTAAACTGTAAAGTTTTTGAATATGGAATTAAAAATAAAACATTCTGAATTAATTTTCAGAATTTTAAATAATGATACAGGGAGAATTTTGAAGTCATGGTGATTTTGAAGTTTGATTTGGGTCCTTTATATCTGCATGACTTATTTATAACATAATAGATCTGCTTCTTACAATTCATCTTATGGTAGATAATTTAAATAATTACAGCTGTTCTTTCATTTGTGGTGACCCTTTAGAAATGTTGGCTATTTTATTGCTTCCTCCTTGGAGCTTTATTGGGGAGGGCAAACACAGTAATGAGGGGGGCATGTGTGTCTAAATGAATAGTTTTTGTAAACATACACATTTTATATATTGAAATGGTGACTCAGAAACATTTTTCAAAGGCATGTTTTAAGATTTTTTAATCCTTTTTAGGGGACTCCTATCATAAGACTGAACCAAAGGCATAATTATGTTTAGGTGTGGTATATATTTTTACATTTATTCAGCTTTTTTCATCCATAGAATTGAAAGCACCCATTAATGCTTACATTTGGAGTCACATAGATTGTATTACCTTCATTTTATATACAAAAGACTTGAAACAATTTTACGCTCTTAAAAAAACTTTTATTAAGATTGTATGTTCACTGCTATCTTTAAAAAGAACACATACATCTATGATGGTATGTGTCATTCATTGTAAGAACTTGCATCTGCATATAATGTATTCAAGTTTAAAAGTGTTTTCACATTATCTCATTTGATTCTCACCAAGTACTTTAAAGCACTGCATTTGAATTCCAGACATACCTGTATTTTTTCTTACCTTACCCAGCTCTTGTTCTCTAATTATAGAAATAGCTTAAATTATCTGTTAGAACAGTAGAATGATCTTTGAGTGCTGGTAGTGTAGTTATTGCATCTCTCAGTGTGGAAGCAATTTAAGCATGTGTGATTTATTAACTGCTGTGTGGACATACAACCATAGTTAGGAAGAACAGAGTGCATATTGGGAAACCAAGAAGCATATGCTACTCAACCCTTGTGTGGATATAATGATAACTGATAAGGTATTATGGCAGAGAGCAATCAATGTCAGGAAACTGGTATTCTTCACTGCTGATTTGCTTGAGCCACGAGTTCATTGTTGCTTTCTGTAATATGTTGGCTTTACCTATTTGTCTGGATTCATCTTTGACTAATTTTTTTTCACACTTGGGCTCTAGGAACATACTTTTGATGATTAAAATATTTTTGGAGATTTATCATTAGTCCTAGGAAAACTGGTATCTCAATACAAATGAGATGGTATTAAAGTGAAGAGAGCTACTGTAGGAGAGTATTTGGATTGTGTCAAGTTCCCTTATAAAATTTTGTCCTGAAAGCACCTTTGTCAATTTTGAAATTAGTTTAGTTTGTGTATTTTTGTTCTTGTTTTACTAATGTTGATTACTAATTGATTAATAATTTTTGGTAGGGAGCAAAATAGTAATTTAAGGGCAATTTAGTGTTTGTGTCGTATTTTAGAGATGCCCTTGTTTGACATTTCTCACATAGCATTTTTGTGTAGTATGTAAGGACCCTAAGATTTAGTCTGGGAGATAGTCTTTACTTGCTGAGTGACCCTGAGCAAATTACTTAACTTCTCAGGGATTCAGTTTCCTTATTTATAAAATGAAAACCAATACCTATTTTACAAGGTTGTTTTGTGAACTGAATGAGTTAAATATGAAAGAATGCATTCTGCTAATTGAAAACGCTGTACAGATAAATTGATTACTACATTTAAAAAATAAGACAGGTTGAAAGACTAGAATGGAAATCTGGAGAACTATGATGCCAGAACTGATA